AGAATACCAAAATCCTTCCGACCACTGAAAAAGAGTAGAACCTCATAATGTCCTAGCAAGTACTAGTTCAAACTCTGTCTTTCTAGTTGAAGCAATGTTCTCTACCCCGAAGAAAGAAGGAATTTGAACTAGCAGAAAGAAGATATCGACCTATGCTTCCATTTTGTAGAAAATCAATCCCTTCCATCCTTACCAGTATTTACATACCTTTTCTTCCTGCTGCGCCAGTTCTTTAAGCAAGCTAATGGATTCTAGAACCAATCTGATAGTGAGAAGGTGCAGCTTTTCGATCTACATTTTATCCAACTAAAGGCTCTTAGCTAGACTAGTTCGAGGAGTCTATTCTCATCCACCTATTTGCCTCTGAAAATCCTTTCATTTCTAGCTAATCAAAGTGTCCATACAACAGCAAACCAAATGCAGCTCCAACCCTCTTTTTTCCCTGCCACTTTGATTACTGATGAGTGTTGATGGAATACCTTTAAGCAATCTTTGTCCAGAGCTGATTTTATCCCCCACCATCTAAAGCATGAATTCCAAAGGTTGTGGGCAATGCTGCAGTGGATGAAAAGGTGGCTAGCTTCCTCTAATTGGCTACCGCATAAGTCACATCTGCCATCCTCTATGCCATGAGTTATCCCCCTTTTGATTAAATTGATCTTTGTAGGTATTTTATCCTGTAGCACTTGCCATGAAAATGCTGAAATTTTGTTTGGCACACTTGTGTTCCAAACTTTGTGGAGAGCCAACTATTGTTGTTCCGTTCCGTGCTCCCTCGTGAGTGCTTGGTAGGCTGACTTTGATGAATAATCTCCATCTTTGCTATGACTCCACTCCCATATATCTTCTTTTCCTCTTGTGATTGTAATGTCGTTGATCATTTTCATGAGCTCTGATACTTCTTGTTCTTCCCAACTATGCAGTCCTCTTCTCCATTCCAAATGCCAAATCCATGTTCCGTTGAGCCACCCTCCCGACTGTGAGACTTTGAAATCCTTTCCTGCAGATAATAAATAAAGCCTAGGGAATCTATTCACCAGTTGACCTTCCCCACACCATTCATCCCACCAGAATTTTATGCTACCCCCGTCTCCCACTCTGATTTTGAACCCCTCCACTAACCACCCCTCCACTAACCACCCCTCATGCTTGCACTCAATACTGTTTAATCTACAAATGTCCCTCCACCAAGTTGATCCGTAGCCAATATTCTCCCTCAGCCAATTATAGCTAGGTTCTCCCTCTTTCCTATATTTTTCTACGATCACTTTTTTCCAAAGCCCTTCGTCCTTGTTCACTAATATGCCCGACCATTTGCCTAGTAGTGCCAAATTAAATTTCCTTAAGTCCTTCACTCCTAATCCCCCTAGTTCTTTATCCTTGCATACCGTATCCCATTTGACCCAATTTATTTTCTTACCTCCCTCAATCCCACCCCACAAAAATCTTCTACGAATTTTATCAAGAGAAAGAATTGTACCTTTCGAGATCAAGTACATCGACATCCAAAACACAGGAAGACTGGATAGCACTGAATTAATGAGAGTGATCCGACCGCCAAGAGATAAGAACCGACCCTTTCATGTTGTTAATTTCTTGTGGAAGACCTCCACTAGCGGATTCCAAAAGGAAATCTTTCTACAGCTACCCCCAATAGGGATCCCCAAGTATTTGAAGGGTAGATTCCCTTTTTTGCAGCACATAATCCACGCCATTTTGTCAAGCCACTCTTCCTCTACCCCAATGCCAATGATTAGGCTTTTGTTAAAATTGATCTTTAGCCCCGACACCAGCTCAAATGTTCTCAGAATACCCTTCATGGCCCAAACATTCTCCTCAGTAGCTTCACCAAACAAGAGTGTGTCATCTGCATATTGCAGGTGTGAGACCTTGAATCCTCCATGTCCTACTTCCACTCCTTTCAATAACCCATTTTGTATTGTTGTTGAAGCTAGCCCGTTGAACCCTTTTGCAATGATTAGAAATAAGAAAGGTGACAGTGGATCCCCTTGCCACAGGCCTCTCGAGACCATGAATTGCCTTGTAGGACTGCCATTGACTAGTACCGACACCATGCTGGATTTTAGGCACTCCATAATCCATTTCCTCCACTTAGTAGAAAATCCCATCTTCTGCTACATAAAATCCAAGAAGCTCCAACTAACCTTGTCGTAAGCTTTCTCAAAGTCAATCTTGAGCATAAAGGCTTTCTTCTTCTTCTTTTTTGTTTCATCCACAACCTCATTTGCTATCATGACCCCGTCCATCAATTGTCTTCCGCTTATAAATGCCATTTGTTGTTCACCTACTACCCCTACCAGCACATTCTTAAGACGATTGGCCAGAGATTTGGCAAGAATTTTATAAACTGCCCCAATAAGCGAGATAGGTCTGTATTCTTCGATTTTCTATGGGTTTTCTACCTTTGGCACCAACACAATGAAGAAGGTATTAAGACCCGTCACCAACTTGCCATTTCTCTAGAATTCCTCTAAAAACCCAATGACATCCCCTTTGATTGTCTCCATCAGGCCCTGGTGCCTTAGAGCTTTCACAGTCCCATACCACAGTCTTAATCTCTTCTTCAGTGAATGGTGTAGTGAGGGAGCTATTTTCTTCTGCAGAGATTCTCTTGAATTTTACTCCTTCTAAAGTTGGCCTCTTCCACTGTTCTTCCGCAAACATGTTCTGAAAAAAGCTAGCAATCTCCTCTTTCATACTTCTGGCTTCCGTATACTGAATTCCTTTTATTTGTATGCTATTCATTTCATTCCTCTTCCACCTCCCCTTCACACAGCTATGAAAAAACTTTGTGTTCTCATCCCCTTTTGATAACCATGCTTTTCTAGCTTTTTGTTGTAGCATACTCTCCTTGTATCTTATATTGTTCCATAGATCTAGCAAAGCCTATCTTCTTCTATCAATCTCCTCATCTGCTAGCTGCTCCGACTCCCCTTTCAGATCTAACTGCTCAATCTGTGCTGTGGCCTTTTTTATTCTGTTGTCAATTTCGGGAACAAAGCTTTTGCTCCACTTCTTCAGTGCTTCCTTGGTGATCTTCAGCTTTTCCTTAAGTTGGAACCCAGCCCATCCTTGGATATTTGCTTGTTCCCATGCTTTTCTTATCAGCTCCCTGCACTCTTTTTGCTCAAGCCATATATCAAAGAATCTGAATGGTTTGGGTCCCCAATTTACTTTCTTATGTCTAAGCAAGATAGGGCAGTGATCAGAGACTATTCTACTCAACCCCCATTGTGTAGCTTCCCCCCATGTGGATAACCATTCCTCTGACAGCAATGCTCTATCAATTCTACTCATGAATTTGCCCCCTGTTTGGTACCATGTGAATTTTCTACCCACTAACGGAATATCAATCAAACCCGAATCTCTAATGAAGTTGTCAAACTCTCCCATCTCTGTAGTTAATCTACCGCTCCCTATCTTCTCCTTGACTTTCCGGACTGCGTTAAAATCTCCCACAACACACCACATTCCTCCTGATTGCAAAACTAAATTTTTTAACTCCAGCCATAAGATTCTTTTTCCAGCAAGTTGGCATGGGGAATAAACATTAACGACATTGACCACAACGTTCTCTGCAATCCACACCCCTTGGATACCAATAAAGTTCTCTCCTTCCCAAACATGCTTCACAGTGATGGTTTTAGAATTCCAAACACACAACAACCCTCTTGACCTTCCTACAGAATCCTTCCCAACCCACTCAAAGTCTTCTGAGTGCCATAGCCTTTTACAATAGTTCCTATCTAACCCACACTTCTTGGTTTCCTGTATTGCCAGGAAATCTACACTTTCTTTATTCAACAGCTCTCTAATGGCTCTTATCTTTCCCACTCCCCCCAACCCTCTAATATTGTAGGATAGAATATTCATTTAACTACTTCACTAACCTTTTGAACTTCACTTGCTCTTCTTGCGTTTTCTGCCTCTTTTGTTGCTCTATCCCTTTTCTCCATCTCCTCAAGCTTCCTGATGACCGACTCCTCTTCCTCTGTTACCGCCCCAATCCTTTTTGCAAAATTCCACAATTCAGCTGCGATTCATTTGTTGGGGACCTTGTTCAACCTTCTATTGCAATTTTGGATGCCACTATCCCCCACTGAGCCCCCTGCCACTGAGTTGCTTGTGCTCTAGCGGCACTATGAAGTTTCCTCCTCCTTTGCTTGACTCGACCCAGATCTGCCTTTGCCTTTCTTCTTCTGATTCATGACTTCTAGAGGAAGTGATCTTTTGTATACCACGCTACACGCCTTAACTTTTTTCTTTCTTTTCTGTTTGCCCTGCTTCGACATCACTCTCATCCACTCCTTCTCACTCCCATCTTCACTTCCAAGTCCCTCCCAAAAGGAGCTGCTGTTTTCCAGAATACTCTTTATTTTTTCGTGATTTGCATTACATTGTGTGGCCTCCTTTTGTGCTTCAACCTCGGGCCTAGAGTGTTCTCCCAGTTGTAAAATTTCCAGGCCTTTTTCACAGACCCATGCTTCTTTTCCTCTCGGTTCCACTGTTCTGTTCTGCTGGCCCAATGTTTTTGGATTGGATTAAGGTTGTAGGCCCGGTACAATTCTTCCTGAGCTTGCTAATAGGCCTAAACTCATTTGCCTCCCTTTTTCAAATTCAGCTTCACACTCTCCAACTCTTTCTCTGTCATCAACGTCATCTTCTTCTATTTCCATGTCAAAGCTGTCTGCTACCATTTCTACCGTCTCTTCCTCACCCACCCTGCTTTGGAATGGACTGTCACCCTTGTAGAACTGTGTCTCATCATTACCTATTCCATCCAATTCAAATTTTTCCTCGAGTATAAGAGCTACAACCAACCTACTTCCTCTTCCTTCGCACTCTATGTTATCTCCGGCCACCTCTTTTTCACCGGCGGTTGTCTCTTTATCTGCTTCCTTGCTTATCTCATCACAACCCTCATCATAATCGGTGTCTTCAAACCATGATTCATCATCCTCTTGGTCGTTATTGAAACTTGGCATGAAATCATATTTTAGAGAAAAAAGGCTGTTCGTCAGTTCTTCTTCTGTGAATTTTAGCTCATACATTGCTCCATTCACTTGAATCTTCCTTTTTACTGAGATTGCCTCCATCATTGTTGTAGAGATGAGGAACCTGGCAATGTCAAATCTTCTTCTCTTGCTGGTACTATCATCCAAGCTAATGAACTTGCCCCAAACTGATGCCATGGATTCAAAAAACTTTGGGCCCCAAGCATGTAAAGGTGCACCTTGGCACCTTATCCAAACGAACCTCTCTTTTGCCACCATTGAAGGAGACCACGGTGTTACTTCTAAGAACCACTGGCCAAGCCAATCAGAGGCATGCTGCACGAAGTCCTTAAGCTCTTCTTTGTCCTCACATTCCATAAGGACCATTTTTCCCCCCATAGCTCTGAGACTACATGAAAAATATCCTTCCATGTAGAATCTCTCCTGCAGAATCAAAACAATCTCCACTGATCGAGCTATGCCTACATAACATCCCTTTAGCCACTCAAAATCTTCCTCTTTTACTGTATACTCCATACCCGACCACTCTTCTTCTCTATTTTTCATTTTCCATTCCCGTCTCTGTTTCGGCTGCTTATGGGGTTCAAACTTCAAACTCGTCGCTAGCATCTGATCTCTAGTTTTTCTTAGGTCTCCTCCTTGTTCTCCTCTTACAGCATCTGCATATGATTTCCCATGAGAATCTTTATTTTCGATGATCCCAATTCTAACCTTTTCCTTTTCGCCTCTCTCCTCTAGATACTTAGCTAGATTTACCCATAACTTTCGCCCCTCAATCCTAATCTGATCTAGTTGACTCTCCAGCTCCATAACATTCCTCACTTCCAAAAATCTAACAAAACCGAACCTGCCTCCACTCTTACTTCTTCTCTGTGGACTGTAAATAGAGATTATCCACCCATACTTGCCAAATGTGCTCCACATGTCATTGTAGCTCCAGTCGTCCGGAATATTTGTAAAGAAGAAGCTTGTGGCTTGCTTGTATATCCCCCTGTTGTATCCCCATTCATCGAAGCCCTTCCTATTTCTATCCCAACTCTATTGCTGCACATCTCGTATCCTCACCTGTCGATTTCTCTCTTGGTTGCTAATCCACTCTCTTCCCGGTGCTATCCGTCTTGCCCTCGAGCGGTGCCTGATACCTGAATCCCTGCCTCTCTCTCTACCTCTCTCTCTCATGCTTTTTTTTCTATATCATTCATTCAGTTGACCACGGTCCCCTGCTCACACAGGTTCCTTCATTCCTTGATTTTAAACTAAATATACTCACTACTTTTTCATATATTCTTTTATTCATAAATAAATAAATACAAAATTTGCGAATTTTTTTATGCAATAAAAACTTGTTTATTTTCTACTAATTAAGGGTAATTTAAAGAGTCACATTAACATTTTAGAATGTAAAAATAACATTGCCCAAATCTTTACAAGAGGACAATGTGAATTCAGTTGTGGAATTTTCGAGGAATGAATTGAAGGAGGAATCAAAGATGATTCAAATACGCGTGCATGCTCCACTTGTTCGGTAATTTCAATTCTAATTGTCTACCTCTACCACTTTCCAGGCAGGTTTTTTTTTTTTTTTTTACTGAAGCTCGTTGTAATTCAGCGGGGCCGGAAAAAAGCAGAGATGAACATCATTTTCACTTTTTCCTGTTATGATACCTAATGATATTATATGTATTTATTAATTTAATTATACATAAAATTTGTAAAAAGATTATATAAAAAATAGAGTTAGTATTTTTCTGTTTTACCTCTAAAAATTTAGGAGGAAAAAAAGCAAAAAATATCTTAATTCATACTTTAAAAATAAGATATTTTAATCTTTTTCAATCAGTGTTTATTAAAATGATGTAATTTTAAAATAATATTCTTTTTAATCTTTATAAAATAAAACAGATAAGTACTATTCCCATAAAAAAATTATGTGTATATTATTATTCTCTCTCCTCAATTTTCATTTTTGAAAAAGTTTAAATTAAAATTTTTAATATAAAAACTCAAACTTTTGTTTACTTCCTTATGTATGCAAAAAAATTTAGATCAATTTTTTAGCACACTTTTTTTGTAAAATTTTACATACAATGTAATAATTGACTCTTTTAATTTTATTAAAACTCATAATATTATATGACACTAGTATATATCAATCATGATTACTAAAAAAA